ATGACAAATTAACTTTCTCCAGGCAGTGGCAGTAGACAGTCTTACTCATCGTACAGAGCGTGTCGATAAATCATGATTAGATTGTATGCCGAAAGAGATTTCTCGATAGAGCGTTCAACCTGGATTGAAAGAAGCGGCGCGGTAATAACACCGCTCTTCTGCGACTTCGTTGGAAATATATGGGGCGTTCTCGATGAAGGAATCTTTATCGAAATCAAGCCATATAACTAATATATAAGCCGAAATACTAAACAGCAATAATAATATATATATATATATTATCATTTAGAGTTAGAAAAATTCCTTGGATGTAATAATTTTTACTTTAATATTTTTTCTCTAATTATAATCGTGCAAATTATTTTATTTCTGAAAAGAAGAACGAAACCAATCGTTTTACCTCTGTCGCAGAATAAAAAAATATATTAAATTTTATAAAAAAATTTCGTGGTTCCGTATGAAATGTATTTTATATATATATATATATATATATGATTTATATGGACCGAAAACGACGGATATTCAAATGTCTCTATTTAGTCGGGACACCCTGTAGAGAATCGTAGCATGGGACGATCTATTCTTCGAAACAATTTAAGCGATCCAGCAGCCAGCGTTGGTCTTCGAATCGCTCGGAGGTACAGCCGCGCCCAGAGAGTTATCGGCTCGCGTTCGTCTCAGATTAATCTCCATTCTGTGGTGATATCGTCCCGTTTTTTTCGCCAGTCATGATACCCGCGTCTCTCTACAGCGTTTTCCACCGATCGAAATCGATACGAGCGGTGTATCGCGGACAGTCATGCTCTGAAAACGAAACGTGTACTTATGCAACGTTAAAAAACGTTCTAACGTTGTAGGCCGGCAATATTTTGACAAGCGCGCCGATACCGCGCTGTATCGCGTGTGTTAAATAATAGAACATATCCGCTGTGCTGCCATTAATTTAATTCATCAAAGCCTCGCGTTCTCGCGGGTATTCGAGATACTGGTTCGATTAAAACGTAAAATCTAATTTCCTATGACGAGTTATGACTCGCTCGGTCGTATTTATTTTTACTTTTATCTCGGCAAATCCAATTTATCAAGCGCGCCCACACCACGGAATCTCAACAAATTTTCATTTCCTCGCGTAGAAACTCAATTATGTCTCTTGCATCTAACGATTGTTAATTTCGTAACGTGAGATAATAATCAGGTTTGTTGAATTATTCAATACACAGAGCCGCTCTAAGCATACTATCTACTTTTACTATCGCCGCGAGTTCTCGCGTGATCCGATGTGCCGTTTCACTCGTCATCGTCGACCGACATAAGGACACATTATCACCACCGTGCGACAGGATTACGGACGTGTCTGGGAACCGCGGGCGTTGCGTGTCGTTGAGAGCCCGCATCTTGCATGACATTAACGTCATGCGTTACGTCCGCCCGCGCAACCTGCTTCCTGTCGCATCGCGTAATATTTTCAACGGTGTCATTGTCACGGCGAGCGGGAGGGGAGGGGGAGGTACCGCCGCAAAAATAGCGATGTTTCGCCGCGGGGCGAAACCCGGCGAGGAAAGGAAAAGTGACCAGGTTGGCCTTCACATTGATTTTTCAATGCGCGCGATGAATTTTCTAAGCCGCGGCGTGCCAAGGTTGTTGCCCCGCGCCGTCAACGGCGAGGCCTTCAACTTGAGAGATGAGCCGACGACACTCTGACAAGTGGGATGGAAACAAGTCGAGGAGCCTGGAAAGTCGAAGTGCCGGAAAGACCGGCTGCTTTTAATTTCCACCTCGGGAAAAGAATGACCTCTTCGAGCGCACTTCATTCATAAATAATCGTGGGAGGAGATTAGTTTTCTCTTTATGCATCTCTCTTTTCCGTGGCCTCTTCAATTTTTCGTCGCACTCGTCAATTTCTCAATTCTCGCACATTGCAATTTCTCCGTAATTTTCTCAATCTCAATCTCCGCCTGTCCTTTCTCGGGAACCACCGTTTCCCCGGACGGCGCAAACCTCTCCTATCAAAAGATTAGCGGATTATGGGCATGAATTTACGAATATACCTGCCCGTTATGTATGCAAATAAGCGGATAAGCGAATATTCTGCGACTGGTAGCGCATCGCGTGTGTCATCGTGTGTGAACCGTGGTGTGAAACTATCGCGGTATCGCTGAATGTCAATAACAACCGGCAATTCACGGGGACCGTCCGGGGACCGCCGCCGATGCTGCCGCGCGTCTCTGCGTCTCGCGCGTGTTCCACGCGACGGCTTGACACCGAGCAGCTGCGCGTCTCTCGTGGATTCAACTATAAATTACACCCTACCTTGACTAAGGCCGGTTCTCTTTTCAGCGTACGCATACGACAGTACGCAGTGCGTGCGTGTGGCGCGCACAACTCGTTCCTTACGATTCTTAATTCTGAAACTTTCCCATGAAAGCGCGCGCCCGGCGTTGAAAATCGCGGCGCGGCGAGTTTTATTATTCCTTTACGACCTCCTTAGCACACATTTTGTCACGAGCCACCCTACTTGTTCCTTATCAGATTCCATGCGTGCAGTCGTATATACATTCCGCGCGCTCGAGGTGGAATGTCGAACGGAAAGTTGGTATCCAATGTCCGTCGAGATACCGGATACTTCTTACATTCTCATGTATGCGAATGAGATGAAAAATTGAATATCGATAAGAGGGTAATATCTGTATTCTTACGATAATATATATAAATTCCTTTCATTGATAAGCTTCCTATGTATGACGTCAACTTCCGATACTTCAGTTCTCTATAAACCGGATGCTTTAACGCATAAAATTGCACCAATTTCCTGGAAGCCGGAATGGATATGAGCGTTGTATTTAAACATAAAATTGACGGTGCAACATATGGTGTGTAAAAAAAACATTAAAAATATTAAAAATAATATTTAAATAATAAATATAAAGGTAATAAACTATCTAATAAAATAATAATAAAGTTTTTATATGAAGCAGATTAAATTTATATGGAAAATTAAATGTAAAAAATAAAAAATCATCAGCTTCAATTCAATTGATATAAAAATAGCGAATTTGATTATTTGCGTTAATTTCTCTCTCTCTCTCTCTCTCTGAAATGGTTTATATTAAAGACTATTATATACAAATTTATTTACATAATTTTGGGATAAAGAGCAAAATTAAAATCAGTATAATTGAATGTTTCGTAATAAAACGCGTGAGAATTAAAAATAATAATAATCAACTCGCGTCTTGCATGCTAATTTCATTTGGATGTAGTTTCGCGTTTTCGCGTTTACAATTCAT